CATTTACAGTGAATACTGTTGTAAAAAGTCTCATTTTACTAAAAAACAATATTTAAATTGCATAAAACATTCTAATTATTCATAAATAATTTGAAATAAAAAAAATTTCCTCCATATTGGTTTGCAATTTTGAATTTTTTAAATTTTACCTTAAATTTGGATTCAGCGACTCCAAAAACTCCCGAGTACAAAATTTTAAACGAAACACATCAATTTGAAATTGTTCTGCCATATTGGGTCCGCCATTTTGAAATATTTAATTTGAACACAAATTCCGATTCAGCGAGTTAGTAATCGAAAACATAAGAAATTTTGGTATAAGCAACGCAATGTAAACTATTTTGGAATAGAGGATTTTTTAAAAAACAATTGCAATGTTTGGAAATGGATAACAATGGTTGGACTTATAAAAAAAAAACAAAAAAAACAAAAAATTCGGTTTTTTATGAGTAAGTTACTTTAATTTATGTTAATTTAAGGTGGTTTAAAGAGAAATAATACATAGTTGCTCATATTTTCTCAAAATAAAGTAATTTTGCCCTGCATTTTACCCATTTTTCATCCGTTTTTGTCATTTTTTGTCTTTTTTTAAAAAAGTGGTATAACTTTTTTGTTTTAATCGCTATTAAAAATTGTCAAAAGAAAAAAGTGTTTATTTTTAGTCGTAATTTTCGAAAAAAAATTGAAAAAAATTTTTTTTTGAAAAATGTGAATTTTAGAACTTTTTAAAAACTAAAAATTTGAATTATTTTGTTGTTTTTCAACAAAATCATTTGGCCAACGAACTCAGGCGAGATTTTGGTACACTTAAGGTGTATTCCAAATTTGAAGTCGATTCATTAAAATTTGTTCGAGTTATCGTCGGACCAAATTTTGTCTACAGACATACATACAGACAGACATTTTTTTAAGACCCATTTTTTCGGCATCAGAAAGTCTCAAAACGTCGAGATTTACTAAAATTAGAGAATGCTCAAAATCGCCCAAATGTAATACCTTCTCATTATGATGAGAATGTAAAAATAAATTTTTATTAAAAATTTAAAAAAAAACAAAAAATTCGGTTTTTTATGAGTAAGTTACTTTAATTTATGTTAATTTAAGGTGGTTTAAAGAGAAATAATACATAGTTGCTCATATTTTCTCAAAATAAAGTAATTTTGCCCTGCATTTTACCCATTTTTCATCCGTTTTTGTCATTTTTTGTCTTTTTTTAAAAAAGTGGTATAACTTTTTTGTTTTAATCGCTATTAAAAATTGTCAAAAGAAAAAAGTGTTTATTTTTAGTCGTAATTTTCGAAAAAAAAATTGAAAAAAATTTTTTTTTGAAAAATGCGAATTTTAGAACTTTTTAAAAACTAAAAATTTGAATTATTTTGTTGTTTTTCAACAAAATCATTTGGCCAACGAACTCAGGCGAGATTTTGGTACACTTAAGGTGTATACCAAATTTGAAGTCGATTCATTAAAATTTGTTCGAGTTATCGTCGGACCAAATTTTGTCTACAGACATACATACAGACAGACATTTTTTTAAGACCCATTTTTTCGGCATCAGAAAGTCTCAAAACGTCGAGATTTACTAAAATTAGAGAATGCTCAAAATCGCCCAAATGTAATACCTTCTCATTATGATGAGAATGTAAAAATTAAGTAAAATAGTTTTTATGCAAAAATATGTAATCATTTAAATAGAAAAATATTTTTTTCTTCTAAATCGTTGATTAGAAACGTTGTGAACCTCACTAAAGTAATTTATTAATTATTAGACTAACTATTTGATTTCAGCACATGCACAAAATAACAATATTCCTGGTAGCACAATATAAAAATCTTAATTGTAAGTTTCGTGTTAAAATGATACTGGTCCAAATTTTCTACTATTTATAATAAATAATATAACCTTAAATTATAATTCAATAAAAATGATAGTAAGTTGAAAGTAATCGAAAGACGGTCGTAGAGTTCTTGTAGGGTTCTCACTATTGGGTACTATGAATCATTTTTATAAAAAATCAAGCGTCACAAGAAACCTCTGGGCCTAATCAGAAATCCGCATTTTTCCACATCAGAATCATACAAGTAATAGGGAAATATTACAAGGCCCTTAAGATTTCCCTATTTAAGTTTCTCCTCGGGTTAGTAAATGACTGACGATCAAAAAAATTTTTGGCTGAAATTAATCCGATCAAAACTGTTCGAGCTAGACTGCCCACCGTTTTGAAAAATGTCATTTCGGAAAATATGAAAACTGAAAACATAAAAAAATGAACTCAACGGTAATCTGTTATGCCTGCACCGTTTAATTGGCCTTCTACATTAATATTGGCTTCATCTTCAGCCTATCGAGCGGCTGTGAGCTTAAAATAACATAATTGTTACCCCGGTAAAAGAAAAAATAGTCGATAGCGCTAACAAGCCCTCGAAGCGTTCTTGAACACCTACAGATTATAATATACTACTTTCCTTTGTTATTAATAAATAATTTATAAAAAAGAAAAATAAACATAATTACAACTGTAGGTAGGGAAAAAAAAATATTTTTGAAGAAATTTTCTGATGCTTTTTTTTAAGTTCATGATTTATAGAATAAATATAATTTAAAAATAAAAAAAGCAGAAAAGAGTGCAAGAGAGATTATAGCTTAAATCACTCTCTCTTATTTCATATTCATAAATTAATTTTTTCTTTACATTTTGAATCGATATGGGATAAAATAAATTTTTTTAAAAAATAGAATGCTTTTATTATGGCGTCTTAAAAAGTAATAAATAATAGAGAAAAATTGTAGAACTGTTTAAAAGTTCAATAAAAGAAAAAACTTGAAAGAATTCATGTTTGGCAAAATTAGTTATATCATTCTAAATACAGTCAACCATCCCAGTAAACCCGGTCAACGCGGAAAAGGGCAATGTTTTTCCAAGAAGTGGGATTCGCCCACTTTCGACTTGCTGGTACATATTACACAGGCACTACTGAGATCAAAGTAAAAAAATTTCAAGAAACACTAGCAGTGGGGGAAAAGCTCGCTCGACAAACTGGGGAAGCGGCTTTATTGAGAGAGGGTTTACTGGGATGGTTGACTGTATTTTTTTAAATTCAAATCAAATCAAAAAGATCATGACAGTTCTGAGTATTTTTTAAAATTAATTTTTTTAAGGTTCAAGAAAAATTAATTTTTAAAAGCATTCAAAGTTGAAATTTCACAATTGATGGATTCTTTCAACTATGCCCAAGAAGCACGTAATATATCCTCAATATCAAGGTAATATTACACGTGAGATTCGTAATATAACGCTGTAATATTACAGTAAGCTTACAGTGATCTTAAAATGTCCGCCTCAAGGTAATATTACCGGGAATATTACTGTAATATTAACGGTAATATTACAGTAATATTACAGACTGATTTGAGTTATTCATAAAGCATAAAAAACGTAAATATATTATAAGTCAATTTGGCTTGTTGGTAAAACTCTGGACTCGTGTGCTTTGAGTTCGGGGTTCGATTCCCTGGATGGGTAGATTTTTTTCGTAAAGAAATGTTCCCATAATATTACTGTAATATTCTCTTGTAATATTACCTTAATATTACGGTATAATATTACTGCAATATTACTATGTAATATTACCTTAATTTTAGTGCGTAATATTAGAGTAACATTACCGGTAATATTACCTTGAGGCGGACATTTTAAGATCACTGTAAGATTACTGTAATATTACAACGTTATATTACGAATCTTACATGTAATATTACCTTGATATTGAGGTTATATTACGTGCTTCTTGGGTGAATGCTTTTACAAATTAATTTTTCTTGAACCTAAAAAAATTAATTTTAAAAAATACTCAGAACTGTCATGATATTTTGATAGGATTTGAATTTAAAAAATATTTGGAAATCACATGTTCGCGTCGAGAGACTCAGCGTTGAGACATTGTGTAGTACGAGTGTTGCTTATATATTGGGAGTATTTGGAGAGTAAAATTTTTGGTCGAGAGTTCGACAGTTTTTTTTGTAAAGAATTGGATTTTGTTAAGCAATTGGTCGAGTGACCAAGAGTGGCTTACCTTTGTTAAATTGGTGGATAATAAAGGAAAAGTTGACCAGAATATTGATCGATTTATTTAATTTGACCCGACGAGGATCCTTGATTTGATCGATTTGTGACGAGAGCTGTGGGTAAGTTGAAATTTGTTGTTTCTGTCGTGTCTCAGAAGGTCTTTTCCCTTTTTTCTGGCTGGTCTTGACGCAATCTCCTTTGAGATTATTTTTGGGGAATTATAACGAGGTTTGTGTATTGAAAATTAATAAATATTAACATTTATGATTGGTTTGTCAATTCCAATAAAGATTGACTGGCGTCTAGCGATTCACGTTTGGGTTTTCTTTTTATAACACATAAAAAGGGGAGGTTAATTAATAAAATTTTAATTATTCCAATATTAACGTTATAATATATATATATATATATATATATATATATACTAGAGGGGCTACGCCCCCCTGCGCGCTTCGCGCGCCAACCCCCCTATTTTTGGCGGGAAATACAGAGAGAGATGAGGGAAGGGGGAAGGACTTACTGTTTTATTAGGGTCTTAAAACAAACATAACCTCAAAATTTAGGTCAATTTTTGGCGGAGGAGGAGAAATGAGAGGAGGGAGGGGGGACTTGCGCCTATATTCAGAGTCTTGAAACGAACATAACCTCAAAATTTAGGTCATTTTTGACGGAGGAGGGGAAATGAGAGGAGGGAGGGGGACTTGCGGCTAAATTCAGAGCCTTGAAACGAACATAACCTCAAAATTTAGGAGGGGGGACTCCCCCCTCCTAGGTCAAGAATTCTTGAAACAGCGGCGGCGATATCTTTTTGTAATATATATATATATATATATATATATATATATATATATGCGATGACAGACCGACTTTGACCTTGAAACCAATTTCAAATAAAAGCATTCTAAAAAAAGCAAGAAGAAATCATATCATTTTTTAAAATAACATATAACGTTTTTTCAAGAAATTAAAAAGTACAAGAAATATTGCTAAACTTTATTTATAAGGCTCAGAACACTATTATTTATGAGATATACAATTGAAAAAGAATTTTAGTTTTCGAGATATACAATGAAATGTAATGTTGAATCACACACACGAAAATTTTTTTAAATCATCATTTTCGGACTCCTGGAGTCAAATAACATCGAAATATGTCAAAAAATTACAATCTGAAATTTTGGGATGTGTAACAACGAGCTGCGATGAGTGATCCGAATGTAAAGAATTGTAATATAGTAGATAGAGAGAGTGAGTGTGATATGCGAAAATAGAGAGAACAATTACTATTCGAAATATGTGGATATGATAGAACCAAGGCGTTGCGCAGTTTTAAATTAGCGATCAGTGTGGTCAACGATCCCGTGACGAGTTCACGGGAAAAGTATAAGGAGATCTATATCACCGAAAGGCGACTTGCCTTTAAGTTTGCATAACGCTCTAAAGGGGTAAGATATATTCGTCAAGTTAAATTTGATTTTTTATTGTCAGTTAAATAATGTGAATGTTATAATTTTGTAGCGGTTAGTGTTTTAAAGCGATCAACACCGTGTATGGAAGTTCGCTTGCCGGTGAACGGCTTATACTCAAATTTATATTTTATATCAAATAAACGTTTGTGACGACTTTACTACCACGGAACATTTATTAACTCAGGATCTAAATTAATGATCTATTGTCTCATTAATTACCACAACGAATTTTATATAGACTGAATGTGTATAGATAGGCATGTGTCGGAAAATATTTATCTAAGTATGTGGAGTGACAATTAAATTTAAATATAAATTTTTATTAAAGAAATAAACGAAATTATAATATTTTCTGCAACTCACAGATTTTTGTCTTTCTTATTTATTTAAATCTAAGTAAATTTTATACAGATGGAAATAAACTTTATAACTGTGTTTAATATTTATCTTTTAATTTTTTCATAAATCAGATTCTCAACTTTGGAAAAAAACATGAATTTGAAAGGTCATTTTTAACAAAAAGAAGAGAAAGTAAAATGATGTGAGTATAACAATCAGCGGTTTACAGTGAAAATGAAAGGAATATTTAAAATAAAAAAAGTTGTATCTGAAGAATTGTTATCATTCTATTATATTTATATATATATTTCTTTTTTGTTTCAAAAAATATACATACAGAAAAATTAAAGCAATTCAAATTTTACTATAACTTAAATATTTAATGATAAGTTTTTTTCACCTAAAACTTGAAAAAATGAAATTATTAAGTAAAATTCAATTTTATTATTATGTTTTAAGTTCAGAGAAAATTTTTCTAAAAATGAATTTTCTAAGCAAAGAGTTAAGTTTTATTAAAATATTCTTTTAGATAAATTAAAATAAATTAAACTTTACCAATTTTATTAATTTTATAAAACAAATTAACTCTACTTTAAATGATTTTTTTATCGTCATTATTTTAGGTATTCTTAAAATTTTCTGTATTTAATGTAGCTTTATCCATCAATTTTTTTTGTAACTAAAATGCTCTTATCTACTAATGTTACAAAATAAATTAGAAATTTTTAATGCTTTTTATGAGTTTAAAAAAATAATTAATCAAAAGAAATCAGTTCAGCTATATCGAGTTTTTGCTCTTCCTTTTGTTGCATATTTTCTGTCGGTTGCGACTGAACCTGTGGGTTAAAGTTAATATTTTGATTTGAAGTCGTTACTGGAAATGAACCCGACGTTCTTGAGGCAACAGATCTTTCCATGGTAGAAGTTTGTTGAGACAATTGCGAAGAGTTGTTAATGGAACATAATTCCGATACTTGACTTGGTCCTAAATTTCGAGGTTCAATATTTATGTTTAACGCATGTTGTTGCATTATATTTCCATGAGATAAAGAAGACCCTTGCTGTTGTATTGATGAATGATGTCCCATTTGGTTCGATGAATCATGCGCGGATGTTGATATTTGCCCACCAGGACATTGAACTTGAGGACCAGCTTGACAGGATGCCATTTGACTTTGTATATCTTGAGATTGTAGTCCTTGGGACTGAATAACATGTAAGGGTAGCCTTTGTGATAATGAACCATGAACTGGAATTCCTTGTTGAGGTTGAGGTCTAATATGACCAAGGTTGTTTTGAAGATTTGAAAGCCCTACACCTGCAGTGTTTTGAGACTGTAATGAAGGTATAGATGGACCACTTATTTGCGATATCTGAAAAAATATTATTAATGCTAATTGTTAATAAAACGTAATTATTCATGGATACATTTAAACAAGATGAAAATGTGTTTTGATATCTAAAAATAAAAGCATATGTGACGCTCCGCGACAAAAGGTACCTAAGCTCCAAAAAACTTTAGGTTATATTTTTGATTTTTTTAAATGAAAATACATAAAGAGGATCAACTTTTTATGCAAACTATTAATATTTAAGTATTTATTACATCCAACATATTTAAGAACACGCATGGACTACCGACCACAAGTTCAATTTTAATGAAGTAAAAAATCCACATTTTATAACTCATAAATTAATTTAAAAATAAAATAAATAAATGAATAAAACATAAAGCATGAATAAAATAAAATCAGTTTTCATGCTCTTTCAATAAATGAAACTTTTTTTTCTGGGGCCTTTTCTTTGTATTCGCATCTCGGGTTACATTTTATGATACCTACACATGGCACTGGCCAACTTGTTTATACTATTATGAATTTCTTCACTCATTTAGACACGCTTGAAAATTCTAAACACATGCTATGAAAATGAAATGAACTCAAATAAAAATCTCTCTCATCTTTTTCCCAAAAGAACAAATTCAGTCTGGTTTTGACTTCTAAACCAATAAATATTATGATTGTGTTGTTTTGTGTTACTATTATCAGTTGGTTTTTTATGATAATTAAAAAACATAAATAAAATATGCAACGAATGAATTAACTTCATTTTTTTAATGAGGTTATTTCTTTTTATTATACATTTATCTACAGAATTATTTTACGCAAACTTTGATATATTAATTTTTTTTAAAAAACAATTATATTTTTTTTACTATTCGTTAGTTAGTTTTTTGACCTCCATTTTTTACTATTGTTGTTTAGTAATTGTTTCTTTCTTTAATGTTTATTACAAATTTTTTAAGACTAGTGCAACGATTTATTACGTGCAATACTATTTCACTTATTAAATTAAATTCTATTTTATATTTAGAAAAAAAGATTTTATAAAACATATTACAATTAAATTGTTGTATACTTTATTTTTTAAGAAAAATTGTTAATTTGTATAGATAAATAAAGCACTGAGGAAGGTCCACATTGGGACCGAAACGTTTGCTATAATTAAGCATTGATTATTTGGATCCTAAAGCCCATTCAACAAAACCATACTATTTATTAAAATCTTATCTTAACATTCGAGAAGTATATTAATTAGAAGGTTTCGTATGAATAAAACGATAACATTCGGACCATTGTTGTTTTAATATAAGTTTACTCCAACGTTTCGAAATCTAAATGATTTCCTCTTCAGGGAGTCTATCAAATTACAATAAAATGTCAATTGTATTTCTCGCCGAACGCTGATCGTAGTTGTTCATTCTTTTCCTGCGTCATACTGACCACATTTTCCTCGGAAGAGATGGGTAAAAATAAGAAACGTTGTCGTGATTCGGACTCAGGTGAAGGAAGATCCATGCTCAGACAAGAAATTCAATATCTTTTACAACAAGAACTGAAAACAAGTTCTAAATTCAGATGTTCATTACATAAACATTTTACTTCCTCTTTACGTTCAGCAAAAAACTTTGCTTCCTCGTGGAGAAAACATTAACATTGAAATAAACATACAAAAATAATATAATAATAATATAAACATTTGGGTACCTATAGATTTGAGTTAAATTTAAAGAATTAATGGAAGTTAAAAAATCAAAAATTCACATTTTAGCTGAAATTTCTGAAAATTAATGAAAAATAATATATAAGAGCAATTCCATGGGATTTGATCACAAGAATTTTTGATGATTGGAGCAATTTTATTGAAACCTTGTGAATATGTTCCTTTATTTGTACAGAATGAAAGCCCACAAACAATTTTTCAAAATTTTCAAAATTTTTTAACTTTTTTTCTTGCTATCCAAATGAGATCAATTTTTTTTTCAAATTTCTCACAAAAAGATGCTATTTTAAGAAAAAAATAGTTCATGAAAAAAAATTTTTTTTTGCCCGGAAAAAATGCAAAAAAAAATTTTAAATTCATTTTTTGAAAAAACTACCTCTTCGATTTCAAAAATTTTTATTCTACCTATTGCCTATGATGTTGAGAATAACTTCTCTAATTTTCATAATGGGACAGTAAGAACTTTGCGAGAAAAAAATTAAGATTATAGATCCTACACAAAAAATATGCTTTTACGTTGAGATTGCTCTCCGTGGGCTCTAACCCATGAGAGATATAGTTATGACTACAGACCTTTTTTGTATAAACAAAAGACATTGTCTTTTTTCATTGGAAGTTATTACTTTCTTAAATTATTTAAAAGTTAAGAATTATTCAGGTCGGTAATCCTGGAAGTACCACTTGCACAAAAAAATTTTTTACATATGCAAACAATTAGGGCTCAATTAGGGCTAATTTAGAATCACCTGCAAAAATTTAGGGCCCTTTACCTATTTAAAATAACCCTTGGTACTGCTAGCTTGACGTCAAGCTGGAAGTACCACACTATAGAACCTAAATATTTTTCGAAATTTCTTCCATAGGAATTTAGGGCTCATTTAGGGCTCCCAACTGGGACTATTTAAAAATTCTAAAAACCACCCCTAAGTACAAAAAAACATCCCCTATTATTTAAACTCGATTTAATCAAACAATAATCATATAGGAATTAAGAGCTAAATTAGGGTTCTGCAATAGCACTAAATTCACTTTTTAAAAGTGCACCCCAACCACCCCAGCCAAGTAACTGATACATAGACAACCACAAAAACTACCCTCAACTAGTTAAAACTCAATATTTTCAAAAACAAACACATACGCATTTAAGGCTAATTTAGGGCTCTAAAAAATAATTAGATTGGTTATTCAAAAATGATACACCAACTTCAAAAACTACCCCAGAGTAGTTCAAACTTTATTTTTTGAAGAAATAAATACTTAGGAACTTAGGGCCAATTTAGGGCTCCTAAATGGAACTACATTGGGTGTTCAAAAATTATACATTAACTTTAAAAACTAACCCAGAGTAGTTAAAACTTAATTTAAAAAAAAAATACTTAGGAATTTAGGGCCAATTTAGGGCTCTTAAATGGAACTACAATGAGTGTTCAAAAATGATACACCAACTTTAAAAAAATACCGCGGTGTAGTTCAAAGTTAATTTTTTAAAGAAACAAATACTTTGGAATTGAGGGCTAATTTAGGGCTCCTAAATGGAACTATATTGGGTGTTCAAAAATAATACACCAGCTTTAAAAACTACCCCAGAGTTGTTCAAACTTAATTTTTTGATGAAACAAACACTTAGGAATTATTGCTAATTTTTTCAAAAAATTAAGTTTGAACTACTCTGAGGCAGTTTTTAAAGTTGGGGTATCTTTTTTGAACACTCAATGTAGTTCCATTTAAGAGCCCTAAATTAGCCCTAAATTCCTAAGTATTTGTTTCTTCAAAAAATTAACTTTGAACTACTATGGGGTAGTTTTTAAAGTTGGTATATAATTTTTGAACACCCATTGTAGTTCCATTTAAGAGCCCTAAATTGGCCCTAAGTTCCTAAGTATTTATTTCTTTAAAAAATAAAGTTTGAACTACTCTGGGGTAGTTTTTGAAGTTGGTGTACCGTTTTTGAATAACCAATCTAATTATATTTTAGAGCCCTAAATTAGCCTTAAATGCGTATGTGTTTGTTTTTGAAAATATTGAGTTTTAACTAGTTGAGGGTAGTTTTGTGGTTGTCTATCTATCAGTTACTTGGCTGGGGTGGTTGATGTGCACTTCTAAAAAGTGAATTTAGTGCTATTGCAGAACCCTAATTTAGTTCTTAATTCCTATATGATTATTGTTTGATTAAATCGTGTTTAAATATTTGGGGATGTTTTTTTGTACTTAGGGGTGGTTTTTAGAATTTTTAAATAGTCCCAGTTGAGAGCCCTAAATTCCTATGGAAGAAATTTTGAAAAATATTTAGGTTCTATAGTGTGGTACTTCCAGCTTGACGTCAAGCTAGCAGTACCATGGGTTATTTTAAATAGATAAAGGGCCCTAAATTTTTGCATGTGGTACTAAATTAGCCCTAAATGTTGGCATATGTAAAAACTTTTTTTGTGGAAGTGGTACTTCCAGGATTACCGACCTGAATTCTTCATATTCATTATCAGGTTGGGGCGTCACAGCCAACGGATCGCATTCTCATGGTTTTTGGGACCTCGAGGAACGAGATTCTCCAATTCATGTTCTAGAACTAAAGGCTGCCTTTTTCAGTATAAAATATTTTGCTTCTAATTTAATGGACTGTAATATCTAGTTCGCATCGATAATACAGTCACAATTTCATATATTAACAGGATGGGTGGCATTCGCTTTGAAAATCTTAAGTCTTACTCGTTCATTTTGGTTGATTGATTTATTTGCTAGTCGTTTGAATGCAAAATTCAAAAACTACGTGTCCTAGTTCAGAGATTCTGACAGCTTTGCGGTTAATGCTTTTACACTATCATGGAACAATTACTTTTTATGCCGTTCCCCCGTTCACGATCGTGCTAAATCATTACAAAAAATTAAAAACGAAGAAGCAAATGGAATAATGATAGTTCCACACTGGCTTTCACAGGCATAGTTTCCTCTTTTTTCATCCGTGATAGTAGGTGAAGCAATAATGTTAAAACCAAATAGTAATCTGCTTACTTCCCCTACTAGGGACCCTCATCCTTCATGGCGGAAGCTTACCTTGGTTGCATCCAGGCTCTCAGGAAAGGATTCGAACTAAGAAACGAACAGGAAACCTCGATAGAAGTTCTAATATCATCTTTGAGTAAATCTTCCATTAAATAATACGATTGTGCGCTAAAAAAATGGTGGAGCTTCTGCTTTGATAAATCTTTAAGTCCGTTTAACTTTTCCGTAAACGATGTTCTATCTTGTTTAACTCATGAGTGCAACCAAGGAGCAAAATACGGTACACTTAATAGTCTCAGATCAGCAATTTCTCTTCTAGGAGGTAATGAAATCGGACAGGATAATATAATAAAAAGATTCTTCAAGGGTGTTTTTAAAGTGAGACGTGCAAAGCCTAAATGTGACCATACCTGGAACCCAAAAGTTGTACTCGATCATTTTTCGTAGGATGATATTACCAAAAAATTATCCCTAGAAAATCTATCCAAATAATTAATTACTCTCCTCGCCTTAATTACAGGCCACAGGCTTCAAACATTATCTTTAATAAAGAAGTGCAATTTAACGGAAGAACAGGATTAAATAAAAATCAAGATTCGCGGTAGAGAATCGACGCCAAGTAAAAAAAAATCCGCGAATATGTTTTCTTTAAAATATTGTCACTTTTCGACCAAAATTGGATATCTCGAAAAGTTCTTTACCGATTTCGATCAAACCTTTTTTGCCGAGTAAAGAATGAGAAAAAATAATTTCTGTGGTGAAAATGGGAGGATTCCCAAAGAATTATGAAAATTAGGCTTAAAAAACTGAAAATTTAATGATTTTTTTATTTTTAGACACACCTGGAGCATATACAGTTTAACGGATTTATCAATTATGTTAAAATCTCGATATATAATCAATTACACCTGAATATACTCAAAAAAATTTTTAATTTTCATTTTTTTATGATAAAAAATCGAATTTTTGATAATTAGATACACCTGGAGCATATAATTCTTGACCGATTCGTATGAAACTTACCAATAATATCAATTAGGTTAAAATCTCGATATACACTACCGTCGGAAATTGTCGGTACGATTGACGTGCGCGGGATGAAATGTTGATGTCGCACCTAAATTAAGATATTTTAAGTTTGAGAAAAGCTAGAGAATTGAAACTTAGATCACCTGAAAGCTGATAAAATTCTGCTTCTGAATATATACCTAGAATTTTTTTTCGACTTTCTGGAGCGATTATAACACTGGAAAGATTTCGAAAAAAAACGTCTAATTTTCCCAATTTCGTACCCAGTTTTTGATTCCCTGCATAATCTAGGAAAATGCAAGGAAAAATTTGTAACTCCTACAACATCTACAACATCCTACAAGATCTTAGCTTTAAAAGTAATTTTTAAGACTTAAAAAATATTGTTTCGTTTTTGAGATAAGTTGAAAAATGTCAGAGCATGTTTTTTACACAACTCAGCGTCAAAGATTAGTTCTTGCATCCCCGCTGCTTCGCCCGTTCCTTGCGCCAGGGCCGAATATGCGTGCGGGCCCCTGCTTGAAACCCGTCTTGTATTTTCTCACATTTACAGTTATTGATTATTAGAATATTAATTAATTTATTTAAAAAATGTTATTATTATTAGTTAATTAAAAGTTTAACAAATACTTTTTAATATTGTACTTAAAATTTACCAAATTGGAAAAATGTTCTTCTTTTTCAGAACTTTAAAATTTTTTGTTTAAAATTTGTAATTAATTTTGAATGTTTGCAAGATATTTTTTTGGTTTTAACTAATTAATAAAGAACATTGTTACATTCTTGCAGTTGTTTCATTCTCTTCTCAATAAGACAGAAAAATTAATAATAATTCAATATGTCATACAAATGCAAAAGATTAACCATACACTGTTCATATTATTGTTTCCATAATTTTTACTAAAATAATTAGTAGTACAAATTAAATTTTTCAAAATTAATTACAAATTTTAAACAAAAAATTTTAAAGTTCTGAAAAAGAAGAACATTTTTCCAATTTGGTAAATTTTAAGTACAATATTAAAAAGTATTTGTTAAACTTTTAATTAACTAATAATAATAACATTTTTTAAATAAATTAATTAATATTCTAATAATCAATAACTGTAAATGTGAGAAAATACAAGACGGGTTTCAAGCAGGGGCCCGCACGCATATTCGGCCCTGGCGCAAGGAACGGGCGAAGCAGCGGGGATGCAAGAACTAATCTTTGACGCTGAGTTGTGTAAAAAACATGCTCTGACATTTTTCAACTTATCTCAAAAACGAAACAATATTTTTTAAGTCTTAAAAATTACTTTTAAAGCTAAGATCTTAAAGATTATGTTGTAGGAGTTACAAATTTTTCCTTGCATTTTCCTAGATTATGCAGGGAATCAAAAACTGGGTACGAAATTGGGAAAATTAGACGTTTTTTTTCGAAATCTTTCCAGTGTTATAATCGCTCCAGAAAGTCGAAAAAAAATTCTAGGTATATATTCAGAAGCAGAATTTTATCAGCTTTCAGGTGATCTAAGTTTCAATTCTCTAGCTTTTCTCAAACTTAAAATATCTTAATTTAGGTGCGACATCAACATTTCATCCCGCGCACGTCAATCGTACCGACAATTTCCGACGGTAGTGTATATAATTGTTACTATCCTTTAAGATGGTTATAATTTTAAAAGGAATACGTGCACGAAAATTTAAGAACGCGGGACCTGATCCGACTGTGTAAATCTAAAATTCATAAAAATATAGATCTGATAGAGACATGATCAAATCCTCTAGATGCTTCTTAGCTGATTCATGACATTAAATGATACTTAGAAAGAGTTTTGAAATCCCAATAAAAACATCTTCGATGCAAAAAGTTACGCCAAGCAAAAATTATCTTAACCACCGAAACAATTCGTGAAATGAAAGTTAGCCTAGTAAATTTTAGGATTATGTTAAGTTTTAATTAATTTCTTTAACATAAATAATTAAATTTAAAAATGGGAAATTATCCAAAGTATAAATTTAAAATATGCGTGCAATGTAGAAAAGAAGAATAGCTTTCATCTAAATATCAAATAGAGTTAATAATTATGAAAATAATTAATTGAAATCAATTTTTTGATTAAGAAAAATTTCTATCGTAGGCGCAGTTATGAAAACTTGGTGTGAATTATTTTTTACCTATACTACAGCAAGTGCATTAACGAAAAATTAAAACAAAACAGAACCCCTGTGGAAAAGTTATAAGTTTGCATCAAAAGGTAATAAAGTAAAATACTTACTATAGAAGGTCCTGAAATGGTAACATGTCCAAGATTTTCTCTACTTTGAATCGGAAAATCCGTTGTTATTTGTTGTTCTTGATTGTTATTTGAACCCATAGCAATCGGTCCATAATTCTTTATTGGGTAACCTCCTGCCGGTGGCTGACCGTAACTGTAAACATTCTGATGAGTTGCAGATGTCGAGTTGTAGTTACACCCTGGATTAATGTACTGAACTTGATGTACTGGAGAATTTTGAGAAGGTGGTCCAATAAAATTTGGAACTGGCTGATAAACTCCTGCACACAGTAGATGGATAAAACAAATTACTTACCAAAAAACATGCATTATGAAAATATTTTTTTTTTGTATCAAAAATTATTTTTAAAAAGCAAATTTGGTCGGAGATCTTTAAAATTTTATAAAAATATATTGTTACCAAAGATAAATGTGTAGAAAAAAGAATGGTTTTCAAAAATTTTTCCAATTGTGGAATTCATACCTAAAATATATTGTTGCTTTTGTTGTTCCTGCCTCATTTGCATTTCACGTTCCTGTTCCTGAATTCGCTGAAGAGCTAACTGACGTTGATACTGTAAGTATTCCTGCTTCTTTTTTCGCATAATTTCTAATTTATGAGCCATTTGTAATTGTCTTTGTCTCTCGGCTTCTTCAGCTTCCCTTCGTAATTTCTCCTTATGTTCTTCTCGCAAAGCATCCAAAGCTAGTCGGGATTCTTTAATTTGAGCAACCTTATCCTGCAATCCTTCATAATACACACGTTTGTCGTCTTGTTGTTGAATGTATCTTAGTAACCTGAAAAATAAATGCATTTAAAAAATAGAATTCACCTTTAACACGAAAAACTTTTTATTTTCTTACCTTGAATGCATTGCTGTGATGTTCATAAACCAGGTTTGGACGGAACTATCATTAGCAATTGATCTTCCACGAGAAGAGTTGCTTTTCATCCGATTTACAAAAATTTCCACTTGCGATTGTAAAGCATTTACAAATGTTTCCATTTCTGTATCAACTTCACCATTTTGTTGTTTAACACTAATAATCTTTTGAGATGTATGAGTATTAATATTGGGAGCAGATGGACTTGTAATGTTTATCCTAGAGCTATGATCATCTGTTGCTATTTGTTTTTGTTCCCAATATTGACGATTTAAATATTTTGCAAGTTCAGGATATAATTCATCATCATCTGTAACTCCTACCGAACTTGTACCCTAAAATTATTTTTAAAAAATGTATTACATTACTTCGGTCTTTTATTCTTTTCATAGAATGTTCAGAAAAAAAGCATTTAGACAATTTTAAAGCCGTTAATATATTTATATCTGGGGCATTCCACGGAAAATTGTCATAAAAAATTTTTTACTTAATATATTCCTAATATCGGCTTGACAAGGAAAAAATGCTTTCTTGCAACAATTCATTTAAATTTTAATCAATTTTAAATTTCATTCTTTTTATTTTCAAGACATTTTTGTCTATTGAAGTTCAAGTTTTTGGATACAAAATTTTATGAGATTCTGCGTTTCTATTACAACTTTTGTTATATTAATAAAATTTCATTTTTAAAAATTTTTAAATTGTGATCTCATATGGTATTTTATATGAGACCTTATATGGAATCGCATGTGGACACTCATGGGATTTATTTCATGAGCTTCCATATAAAATTCTATGTAAGATCTCATATGGGAAATCATGTATGATTTTATGTCATCCCATATGAGAATAAAAAATAGGGTAATGTTAATTGGAAATCGGCAACAGGTTTGCGGAGGGGCCATTCAAGTATTAAGTAACCATGTTTTCAAGGGTTTTGGACCCCCCCCTCCCCCAAATAAGCCTATTGTAATGGAAAAAATAAGAATTTTATATGATGCGTAAGCAACTGAGGAACCCCCCTATCCCTTAGAAGCTTACGTAATACTTAAATGACCCCGTATGAAAACGAATTATATTATTAGCAATATTGTGTACAGTAACTTCGATGTAAAATTTTGGGAATTTTTAAAAATTATTACATTTTCATCATATGAGAAGGTATTATTTTTATATTAGTTTAATTTTTTTAGTACATTTAAGACATAATAATTATTTTATTAATTGAGAAAATCAGTGTTACCAAGTTAGTGGTTTTCCCACTAAATTTAGTAAGATTTTGGTCCGTCAGTAGTATTTTTAGTGGTAGAAATATTTTAGTAGGAAAATTAGTATATCTTTTTTTCTTTAGTGGATTTTTTAGTATTTTTGCCTCTATGTCATTTTTTCCTTGCGTAAATTATATCTGAAGTATAAAAATTGCGGTCTCTCTATATAAAACTATTAAACTGAATTTGATTGGCTATACTGATGGAGAATCGACGAAATCTAAGCCAATCCAATTTCGTCACGCACTTCTACCGGAAGGAATGCTCTTTTACGTACCGAACCCTGCATTGCTGGTTAGCACTGTTTATTCGTGAATTGATTTTTGGCTGTTGGAAAATTTCCAAATATCTTTACGACTAAGTTGTTTAAAATACTTTTTACAAAAATCTAAAAGAATAGAAATTATAAATGCTGCCAACGCCAGTTTCAAAAAAATATGTACAGAGATATAAAGTCTCTTGGGAAAGCGAAAAAGAATATAAAGGTTATTTTTTGTTTGTATTGTCTAGTTTAAAAAATTAATGTTAATATGCTATTTAATATTCGCAGAAAGTTTATAGTTTTTATACTGATATTTATATTGACAAGTAAGTTTTTGTAAATCCTAAAATTCTTTTTTTTTATAGATTGGTTAAGACCATTCCCTGCGAATAGTTCAAGAGCTAAACTAAAAATTGCTGCTTTTGTTGCAGAGCACTGTTCTATTAATTGTGTTGACCATTTGGGTGAAGTTGTAAGCAATTTAGATAATGATTCAGAAACTTTAAAATCTTTGAAATTGCATAAAACCAAATGCACTGGATTAATAGTGAATGTATTGTCTCCGTGCTTACTCGAAGATTTAATCAAAGATGTAGGTAACTCTTATTATTCTATAATAATTGATGAAAGCACGACAGTTGATACAAAAAAGTTATGTGCTTAATAATAAGATATTTTAGCGCCAGTGCTGGTTGTGTGCGCACAACATTTTATCGTCTCATTTAATTAGAAGGTGGCACAGCTGAATTGATGACAAATGCATTCAAAAAACAATTAGAATCGGACAAATTAAAATTAGAAAATTTAATTGGCATAGGAGTGGATGCTGCAAATGTTATGATCGGGCCACATAATTCAATGAGCTCGCGACTTCAAAGCATAATCCCTCATTTAGTTACAATAAAATGTCTCTGTCATTCCTTACATTCTGCAGCCGAAGAAGCTTACAAAGTACTACCTGTAAATTTAGACTTTATGGTGAAAGAAAGTCATAACTGGTTCTCCAATTATACAAAACGAATCAACGAATATAAAGAAATATATAAATTGATTTACGGCGAAAAAAATAACCCGAAGAAAAAAAAACCTTGAGAACAAGTTTTATTTAATTGGAGTTACCAATTTAAATAAATTAATTCAATCTGAAACAGCTGAGCCTTTAAAATTGATGAGAGATTTGAGCGACTTACTGTATACTAATTTGCAGTTGATTGTTATACCATCGCAGCTAGAAAAAGTTAAGCGTCAAGATCTTTCCACGTTTAAATTTTTGAATCATTTAATGCCAATTTCTGCAATATACTTTGGGTATGACTTCAACGAAGCATCCACTCATCTCGAGGGATTTATATTTTCAATCGAGTCAGCAACGTTGCTACAGAGGTTGGATATTTCAAACATTACCATTCATTTCAAAAAAGTTTGTGGAAACATTGATGAAACTGTGAGAGAATGGAATATGCTTCATCGATTTGAAACTGATGCCAAAAGTACCGATGAATTTTGGTCTGCTGTACTTCAAGATAAAGATAGTGGAGGAAATCGACGATTTGAACACATTTCCAAATTAGTGATATCTTTACTTTCATTACCCTTTTCTAATGCAGAAGTAGAAAGAGCGTTTTCTCAAATGAAAATAATAAAAGATAATTTGCGTAATAAACTAATGATTTCGACAGTAGATTGTATTCTTAGAGTTCGATATTTGTTGCCTGAAACATGTCGAAAGTTTGAACCGACAAAAAATATGCTCTCAAAGTTTAATACTGAAGAAGTTTACCAAGGCAACTTTGATGTTGAGGCAATTGATATACTTAATACTTAACTCTAAGGCTTAAATCAAAAATAGTTTTGTAATGCATTGTGATAATTTTTTAACGTTTTTAAATACATAAATTTTATAAATAAATTTTATGTAAAATTAATACTTAAATAAATAAAATTTTAAATAACATCTATAATCATAAAAATACGTTTTTTTCTTATATTAAACTTATGTATTTTATTAAAACCTTAAATTATTATTGAAAAATTAGTGTGAAAATTCAAAAACTTTGCGTTCAGATACAGACTTTTACGTACATAAACCTAAAGGTGCTTTTATACCTCAAATTTCGACCAGATGAACCTTATTTCTGGACCGAGAAAATGCGTGAAAAGTCATTTTCACGGTGGGTATTTTTGAATTATTTTATACAAAAAATGTTTTTTTAAGAAATATAATATTAAATAATTGTTTTAATATGTAAGAACACTTTAAAATAGTGATAGAAAGATGATTTGATTGAAAAATTTAGCAAATTTTGCTTTAAAACGTTTCCTGCTACAAGAACAGTGCTTCTTCCTTGTGAGTGTCTCTCCGAGTTTTGTTTATGTTATGTCGGTTCTTTTTAACTTGTAATAAATAATGAGTGCTGAAAATAAATCGGTAAGTTAAAATGTTTATCAAATAAATTAAAATTCAACTAATTGTTTCGAATAACTGAAAGAAACTTAATATACAGAAAGTATTTGAGAGATGCGTGGAAAATTGATTTACAACCTCAAATTCATACACATCGAAATTTGAGGTATAAAAGCACCTTAATTTCTAGTAAAAATTATAGAAAAAAATTTTAGTGGAAAAAATTTATTTCTAGTGGAAAATATATAGCACTCTAGGGGGAAAGCGCCATGGTGACCTGGCAACACTAGAAAACAGAATTAATTTTCTTAAAGTTCTTCGACTTTAAGGATAACATTCTCATCATGGCACTCCACGGTGCGCCAGAAGGAGGTTTAAATAAAAATGAATTGGCACTTAAAAATTCTTTTTGATTATGGTTCTAAGATGAATAAAAAACTTTTCTCAATAGGTTTTAAAATCAGCTTACGTGCCCAATTTAAAACAAATTGAGTTTTAAATATTTAAAAATAGTGTTTTATGAGGAACCAGAATTTATTTAATGTATACTTATATGCGTATAGATAATAGATGTTTTAGATTTGGGTTCATATAAATTTATTAACATTGAAGTTATTCTCTTGTTTCGTTTTTATATTTATGCATTAAGAGTGTCGAACGGTATCTGAAATTCTTTGGCAAGAAGAGAGCTTTAATTATCACTCTGAACGTGAAATAGTATTGATTTTAAAATACTTTTTTCTCGAAACACGAACACTTTTAACAAAATCAGCCAAAATCCTCATCTTATAAATTTCCTAAATCCAAAAGACTGTACGAATCCATAGAAAAACATGGTTGCAAAACAAAAAGTAGAAAAGTAATCTAATAACAGCTGCGACTTTGTGCGCCCTGCATGCTGCTGCCATCTGACGGCGGCAGGAGGTAATGAACCTGTCATTATATTACTTTTCGTTTTGCAATCGTGTTTTTGTATGGATTCGGATAATCTTTCGTATTTAGGAAATTTATATAAGATAAGAATCTCTAGCTGTTTTTGTAAAAAAGTGTCCGTCTTTCGAGAAGAAAGTATTTTAAAATTAATGTTTATCATTTTCACGTTTAGTGCCGTTTTTATAGGGTGATAATTAAAGGTCTCTTCTTTCCAAAGAATTTCAGAGACCATTCGACTCTCTTAAATAAATTTTGTCACTCTTAAAATCGTTCTTTTAATATTATAATTTAATTTTTTAAAATTGGACACAAACACTACAGCAATATAATTATTTATATGTAAAATTGAAAATAAGTAATTATTTTATCATTTATTACAGTATTTATTAGATTAAATAAATTCTGATTCCCCATAAAACACTGTTTTTATATAAAAACTCAATTTTATTTAAATCGGGCACGTAAACTGATTTTAAAAACTATTGAGAAATGTTTTTATCAATCTAAGAATCATAATCAAAAAGAATTTTTAAGTGCCAATTCATTTTTATTTAAACCACCTTCTGGCGCACCGTGACTCACGCTTCGCGCTCGAAAGTATGATGCGAAATTAGAAGTGTTTTTAAGTATTTAAATTTTTCAAGTTGTTGAAACATTTAAGGGGTTATGCCACTCTAGAGACCGAAAAAATAGGTGTTTTATGTGAATTTTTTTTAGAAAAACCATAAAGTCAATTAAAAATATAATATAAGAAGTTTATTATACATCTTTTTAGGTGTAAAAAAATAATTTCTTATAAATATTTCTTGAAGAATGGTGGCGCTGTAGCGGTCGTCCTTCGACTCCTCTATGGTTCAAGGGGTACGTGGCCGAACTAACTGCTCCTGTAAATTTTAAAATATCTTGATTATCTAAATTTTTTTTTATTATATATTACAATAGCTAAAGTAACACGTAGGATTTTTTCGATATATTAATTCATGATCAAATGGCGCACTTCTAAAGTTAAACTTTCTAATTTCGACTAAAAAACCATCAGTTAATAGTTAATAACAAATGAACTATATAGAATAAAAAAAAAATCCTACGTGATACCTTAAAAAATGTATTTTTAAAGATGTGTGTCAAATTTGAACCTAATCGGTTGGAAATTGTACGAGTTGTTGGTTCGGCCAACTCGAAAAATGTAGTTTGGAGATAAACGCGTTTAAAGTTTTAAGTTGTAAAAAACTTAAATAATTTCACAATACCTTTAATCTGCAATGCCTGCACCATATAATTGACCACTATAGTCTAGCAAGTAACTAGCGCCTTTGAAAACATCTGCCGTATACCTGCTGTAGATCCTTCAAATATTACCCCCCGTAGAACTTACAAAATGAGCTCGCCGCGTACCGTGCAGCCTTGCAAGGAACTTCGAAAATAAATTATTTAGAGATCTTTCCGAGCCATAATCCTGCAATATGTTATTTCTGAGACCCTAAGGAACTATTTAAAGCAAAAAAAAAAAAGCGATTTTTTGAAAATCCTAGAGTGGCATAACCCCTTAAGCAAACAAATACATTCATTGACGGTTTTACGTTGTTTAATGTTTGTTTGCTACAGGAAATTTTCCCCAAATATATATATATTTTTTCAAACTTATAGACACAAAATGTTTCTCTTAATTATCATAGCTAAAATTATTTTAAAAAATTCAAAATAAATTTACCAATATAACGGACTTTATATAAAAAAATTATTTCTACTATATAAAAAACATTCAAATGATCTAGAATTAGCCTTAAATCAAGAAGTGGATATTAAAGTTTGGACTTAAAAAAAAATTGAAATTCAAAATTTTTAAAAATGCTGTAATTTTTCTATTTCCGATCGGAAATAGTTGCCTAAAGAACTTAGCCTTCATTTTAACACCAACTTTATGTATAAAAAAGGACAAGTTGATTGTCTCGAAAACATTAAAAGATAGAGAAAAATGTTGTATTGCAAAGTTGTAGCTTAGGAAATTTTGAGAAAAAAGCCTCTGGGGTCGAGTTTCTATAGGCAATAGATTTCGAGATAATTTGGTCAGAATGTTGGATTTTGCATAAAAAAATATAATTTTATATGTATATACAGTCATTTTTTAAGGAATTTAGTTTTTTTAGATTTATCATATTCTTTGAGTGCTTTGGGATGAGAATATGTCCACTTTGTGAACTAAATTTATTATCTTTCAATATAATTTGATTTTTAACAAAAATTTCTAATTTTTTGCTGCTTTTTTATATTTGAAGCTCTTTAACTTTTTCAATTTAATTTTAATTGAAAAATATCAAAGAAAATAAGTGTTTGTATTTAACTAAGGTATAAAAATATGAGGTTGAAAAATTTTTAAAAATGCTATGATTTTTTCATTTTTGATAGGAAATGGCTTTTCCGACTTAGAGCATCTCAAAACGTGAAGATTTAATGCAATTAGCAAAAGTAAATTTCTTTCTCTCTCTCTAATAAATAATTTTTACGTTTTCTAAAAGTAAATCATTACAAGATAAATGTGAAAGAAAGTAATAGTTTAAACTATATTTGTAGTAATAAAAAAAATGTATCTACGAACTGCAGATGACGGTGGTGGTGAATATGTCACTTTTGTAACTGATACAGAATTTGATCGTGAAGAAGCAGTTGAATGTTTCTTTTCTTTTTCTTTATGCTCTGCTTCACTTTGGCTCAATGCTAAAGCCAGTTGAAATTCTTCTTCTTCACGAAGCTCATCTTCAGTTTTACGAGGTGGAACCTAAAAATATTCATAAAATACTAATTAATAAAGGTAAAATAGTTTATTTTAAGTAATAAAATAATACTAAATTTTTAAATATTTTTTAATTTATCTACAATAATTGATCAAAACTATAGAATAAGAGTTTTTCTTTTATCTACTTTTTTCTCGGTCCAAGATGGTCATAAATGTTTCTTAAAAATACATATATTAATTTTTTTATAATTGTTTTATTTTAGTTGGTCTAATAAAAATTAAATTTAAAAATAATTTCTCTCTCTATCCTTATGAAATTAGTGCTGATTTAGCCGATAATTTATTTATGTGTGTTTGAGATTAACCGTTTTTTATTAATGAGGAGTGAGTGGAGGAAATAAATTCACTTTATGTAAAATTACATAAAATTCTCAGTTTATTATAAATTACACAAAGTTGAGCTCACAAGTGCAAAAATGGCGTGACCATACTGTGGTCATGCACAAAAAAATTTTAAGTTGAGTTTTTACCGATATATTAAGTTTAATTTTGAGAACACAATTTCTTTGAGTAAAACCGATCTGAGTTTATTTAATCAGAATAACTATTGATTAATGGTTTATTTATTGCCGTGTAAAGTGAGAATGTGTTAGTGTAAGTTTCCCGCTAATCAGCTGTTAAACTGACGCTCAATTTTGGTGTTGAGATTAAAGCGGCATTACGTAATAATTATGAAAAAGTGTATCAATTAAAATACGCAATCTTGAACAATGTGATCCAAAATTAATCCGACTTCAATTTTATTTTAAACTCAAAAAGGATAAGATGCCTGACAAAAGTTATATTAATTTGATCAAATATGATCTTTAATATAATATTTATTAGCTATTTCGATTAAAAATATGGCGTTCCCTCTTTTTAAGTTAAAAATTCAAAACTTCTAATAACATCACTTTTAAATAGCTTAAGAAATTTTTTATATACATCAGGCACTGAAATGATGTTCATAGATACCAGAAGACAAAATTTAAAGCTACTTACGCGAGAAATATAAAAATTCAATAAACTCTAGTTTCTGGTTCGTATTTCACGATTTTTTAAAAATTATAATGCTTACCTGTACTTGTTGAGCTAAGGAACTGTTAAGATACTCTGCAGGAAGCTCAGCTTCCTTCGTTGATACAGTAGAAGGCCTAAAAAAATAATTGAAACTTTTTTTTTCTTCAAAAGAACAATAATAACTAATAAAATTAGTTAATAAATCAGATTAGTACAGGGTCAAACCATTATATTTCAAATAAAGTCGTTGCTGACTAATTTTTAAAAATTATAATACTTTGCAGGAATGATTTTAAATTTATCAAGATCACGAAATGAAAAGAATTTTATTAAAAATTTAATTATTTATTGTAAAATATGAATTTAAGGTATGTATTGGAATTTATTAAGAATGAATAAATTTATCATTATCAATTGACATAATTATTTAAAGATTTGAAATAATATATAAAATATGATATTCAAGTGCACCTGTCAAATAACAAATAACATCTTTAAATAATTATGTCAATTGATAAGGATAAATTTATTCATTCTTAATAAATTCCAATAATTTTTTTTTATTTTTATGGTAAATTCTATGTTTTTTTAAATATTTTGTAATGGCTAAAAAGTCGACAGTTTTCAGCACCTCACATACTTTAAATTCATATTTTACAATAAATAATTAAATTTTTAATAAAATTCTTTTTATTTCGTGATCTTGATAACTTTAAAATCATTCCTGCAAAGTAATATAATTTTTAAAAATTAGTCAGCAACGACTTTATTCAAAATATAATGGTTTGACCCTACACTGAAAAAAATATTTCATTCAAATAATCGGTTACTTTAATATTATTAAATAAATATTTACTTGAATCATATAGTTTTTATGTGAATTAAATAAACTGTATTAGAACCTATAATTTCTGTATTTGAAACAAATACCATTTAATTGACTAACATAAAAATTATTTAATACAAATAAATATTTATTTGATAATAGTCAAGTAACCAATTATTATTTGAATCAAATAATTTTAAAAAATCTAAAACTTAAAGTATTTTGAATAATAAATATACTTACTTATGAAATTGTTCATAGCAAGACTCACATACTCTGACTTCTTTTTCAAAACCAAATTTAGGAAGTGTTGAATTTTTACTTGAACATTGTTGACAAAAGACTTGTCCACAAGCTCTGCAATGATGTTTGCGTTGAACAAGGGTAAAAGGTACTCGACAACGATGACACGTTATTCCATCAGCCCATTCTGGAGCAGTATCAGCACTGAACATCGCATCACTTTCTTTCAGTATCGGAAACTTATGACCTTCTGCTTTCATAATATTTACTACGTCCTAAAGAAAAAGAGCAATTAATAAAAGCTATAATTATCACATTATCTAAAAAAAAACTTTGTAGGGCAAAATGGGACGGGATTCCAAATGAATATCTGATAATTAAAATATAATTTTTAATAATATTCTTATAACCTATGCTCCTACTCAAAATAAAATCAAGATAAATTAGAATAATGGTCGGCCATGCTGACCATCATCTTTTTCTTCTTAAATGACTTGAGGCGTAGCCAAATGTCAGAACAAACTAGAAAAGGAAAAAGTTTCCAGAATAAACTGAATGAAATCTATGTTGGTAACACAGGCCAGATATCAAAAAGTGAAATCGAATTCAATTCACATAAAATTAATCTCAATGACAATTTTTATCGATAGAATAAAAGATAGAAAAAAAGTCAAAATGAAATCAAGAGGTTCGAGCAAGACTGCTGAAGCCAAAGGACTCATCCTGGGGTAAAACAGAATGAAACAAACTCCGATTTGAATCAAAAACATCAATTACTATTGTAACGTGTGTAAGATGTTAACTCCGGGTTTCAATCACTTTAAATATACTTAAAACCTTGAACAAGGGGTATACAATTAAAATATTAAAGTGTCAAAGCATAAATTTTGTAAATTTAATAAATATACAGATGATTTTAAGATTTACTTATCAGCTCCTATGATATCACTTCCTGACATGTCTAAAATGATTCAATTGGACATTAATTATGTTGTTAATTGGACAAGAGATAATGGACTTATGCTTAACTCTAATAAGACTTATGCAATAATATTTTCAACTGTGAATTCTCCTACTTTTCAAACCATTTTAGCCCTTCCTCCTCTACTGGTTGGAGGAACTCCTATTTTATACAGACAGGAAGACACTGAAAGACCTGAGATTAATAATAAATAAGAATTTATCATGGAAAGAACAAGTTTCTGATATTTCAAGGAAAACATTTATGGTTCTACGTCAATTAAATAGAAATAGAGACTCGCTTCCTACTTCAACTCGCTTAATCTTCGTAAAATCACTGATTCTTCATTTTTTGATTACTGCTGTCATGTTTATGATATCACTGATGAGTTAAATAATAAACTAGAAAGAGCATTGAATGCCTGTATCCGTTTGATTGTTAATGTACATAAGTATGAGCATATAACTCAGTATAGAATTAAATCTGGATTATTGTTGCGTCTAGAAATCAGTATTTTATAGGAAATTTGATTTATTTGATTATTAATCATCATATCTCATCATATCATCCTATTATTAATCTGCATATCTCTTTGAGTATTTAAAATTTATAAAAACTAATGAATCAAATTATACTAGATTCCGAGAACCCAGTTGAAAATTCCGACCTCGTTTACGACGTCGTATTCTAAGTAGTTTGCGACGTAGTTTGCGACGTAGTAAACGACGTAGTAAACGACGTAGTAAACGACATAGTAAACAACGTTGTAAATGAAAGCGGAATTTGGGATAGCAAATTACGTCGTTTACTACGTCGTTTACGATGTTGCAAAAATTATTTTAATATTATTTATTTAGTAATTTAGTAAGTCCAATATCCAATATTAAAAATTTTAATAATAATTTAAAAAATCAATAATTTAAAAAAAAATTTATTTTTATTATTTTTTAATAGTTATTATTATTATTTTATTTTTAATATTTAAATTAAAATAAAAAAATGGTCATCAAAATATTAGTGAAACCATTTCTTCCAAAAAAGAATTTGTCTCAAATCCAATAAAGGAGAGACATCGGGCAGAAAAAAATTTCGACAAAAAAAAAATTTTCGATCACTGCTTATATACCAATCTAATGGCACCTCAACTGCGAGAAACAGTTATGATGTTCGCCCTCCCTGTAGCGTTGAGCGAACTTAAGTCCAGAGCTGAGCCATCAGCGCAGCGCGGAAACATTTGAAAAATTTGATTTTATTAGATATTTTATTTTATTTTAAATATGACAAATAATTAACTTAATAAATAATTAATGTCATAAATAATTATTAATAACATAATGTCATACTTAATAATTCGTTAATTAATTATTTTTAACGAAAATTTGACAAAAAAAAAATTTGTTGGCCAAAAAAAATATTACCATTAAAAAATAATTTTTTTGTTAAATTTTCGTAGTAAAAAAAATTTTTTTAAGACAATTATTTGTGACCTAAAAAAATATCACGATGAGAATATAATTAACAAAAAAAATTACTCGTAGCACAGAAAAAATTTCACCATGAGAAAATAATTTTTTTAAAATTTTATGTGTAAAAAATTTATTGGTAGCTCAAAAAAAATATCACAATGAGAAAATAATTTTTTGTCAAATTTTCTCTGTAAATAAATTAATTAACTAAATAACGTACCGTAAAACGGGGTTATTTCGCTCATTGCGGGTAAATTCGTTCACCCACTTTTATGCTTTATTTCAGCTTTAAAATAAAGTTTAATACATTTATTACCAGGTTAAATTTTCGTAGTAAAAAAATTAATTAACTAATTATTAAGCTAACTAGTAAAATTAAACGCGCGCAAGCGCGCCAAATTGAGGATTTAATTATTTGTTATAAAGAAATTAAAGATTAATATTATTAATAATAATTTAATTTATTAGAATATTATAACATATTAAATGATAATAATAAAAATTATATGTTTACAGGCCTCGGATTATGCGACTTTTTCCAACTTTTTTCAAAAATACGACTTTTATCGACTTATTTTAATAAAATGCGACATTTTTTTTACATTTGAAAAAAATGTAAATAAAATACATTTTTTTTTTTTTGTATAATAAGCCGACAAGTTGGGGAAAAAGGTTGAAAGAAATATTAATCGAAATAAGGTGCGAGGAAATAATTAGACAAATTTGGGAAGGCAATAATCTAGAGGAAATCTACAATAAGTTATTAGTTGGTCTGAAGAATTGGTGGGAAGGAATAGTAGGTTTAGAGAGGGAGGCAATTGTAAAATCAAGCTTTAATTTTTTATATAAAGAGTTATACCCAGGGGGAAATGGAGCAGAATATTGGAATAAGGAAACTGGAAAAAAGGACAGTAAGGAAATATGGGCAAGAATGAGGTGTGGGAATATTGGTAGGGCTTATAAAAAGGGATACCAGGATTGGAAGTGTAGACTATGTGATTGGGAATTAGAGACATTAGAGCACTTATTTGTCTGTGGAGAAGCATTAAAGGATCAAGAAGACAGTATTATTGATTACATAAACAAATGGAAAGGCAGCAGGCAGGAGGGAGAGTTAAAAGAACAATTAATTACCACGCTAAGAGGCGACGTGATAGAAGAATTGTGTGTATATATGAGAGTGATAGAAAAAAAGATTAGAGGAGATTAGTATTTAAGAATGTATTGGTACATAAGTAGACTAAGGAAATTGTAAAGACCTAAAAAGGTGTACAATGAAAATAAATTTATTATTACATTTTTTTTGTATAAAATGTAGATCTTCTTCAGATCTTCTTCAATTCAATTATTTAACAAATGAACTAAAATGATTCTTCACTAAATTAATTATTTTTAATAATTTTAATTAAATACATCACAAATTCAATTATATCAAAATTATTTTTCAATTAAAATTTTTATGAAATTTAACAATTGTTTATAATTTAAAAAAAAATATCACAATAAAATTGAATTATTTTTTAAAAATTTCAATTCAAAATAAACTAAAATTCAATTATTACCCGAAATTTTAATTCAAAATCAATTAAAATTCAATAATTATCCAAAATTTTCAATTTAAAATTTAATTATTTACCAAGTTTTCAATTTAAAATGAAATAAAATTCAATTATTTTCTAAAATTTCTATTCAAAATTAATTATCCAAATTTTCAATCAAAAATGAACTTAAATTAAATTATTATCCAAAATTTCAATTAAAATTCAATTATTTCCCAAAATTTTCAATTCAAAATGAACTGAAATTCAATTATTTTCCAGATTTAAAATCAAATAAAATTTCATTATTCTTAAAAATTTGAATTCAAAATTAATTGAATTTTCAATAATTTGAATTTAAAAGCATCTAAAATTTCTAAAATTTTCCATCGAAATTTTTTTTTTTTGAAATTTAATAATTTCAATTATAACTCTAAGGAAATTCAATTATTTTTAACTATTTTAATAATATTCTTTGAAAATTCAACTATGTGAAACCATTTTTCAATTAAAAATGATTTTCAAATTATTGTATTTTGTCCGCATTTTCTAATAAATCTCAATTTTAAATCTTTGAAAATTCAAATAAATTTAAAAAAAGTTTTCCAAAAATTGTTTGATAAATTATTTTTAGTTCTGTAAAATTTAATAATTGTTTGAAAATTAACAATATCTTTTGAAATTTAATTATTTCTAAAAATTTCAACTTTAACCCTTCGAAAAGGATTATTATTAAAAAAAAAATTTTATTTAAAAATCTGTAAAATATTTTTGTTAAAATGAAAAACAAATCCACTTTTTTTGGAATATAAATCGATTAAAACGACTGTTTTGTGTCTTTAAGTTGATTCGAGGCCTGTGTTTTTATAATTAATATTTAATAGGTAATCGTTGGCCCCTGGTACCTTAAAAATAAATTTTTTTCAAATTACTATCTTGTACGAAATTTCCTGGCGCATCTTTTTTCTCATCATAAATTTTTTGTATTTGTATACAATTTTTGAATCAATATACAATTTTTGAATTAATATACAACTTTAAAAAAAATTTCGTTGGACTTAAGTTCGCTCAACGCCACAGGGAGGGCGAACATCATAACTGTTTCTCGCAGTTGAGGTGCCATTAGATTGGTATATAAGCAGTGATCGAAAATTTTTTTTTTGTCGAAATTTTTTTCTGCCCGATGTCTCTCCTTTATTGGATTTGAGACAAATTCTTTTTTGGAAGAAATGGTTTCACTAATATTTTGATGACCATTTTTTTATTTTAATTTAAATATTAAAAATAAAATAATAATAATAACTATTAAAAAATAATAAAAATAAATTTTTTTTTAAATTATTGATTTTTTAAATTATTATTAAAATTTTTAATATTGGATATTGGACTTACTAAATTACTAAATAAATAATATTAAAATAATTTTTGCAACATCGTAAACGACGTAGTAAACGACGTAATTTGCTATCCCAAATTCCGCTTTCATTTACAACGTCGTTTACTACGTCGTTTACTACGTCGCAAACTACTTAGAATACGACGTCGTAAACGAGGTCGGAATTTTCAACTGGGAAAGACAAAATATTTTAATGATACCATATCATCGAACCTATAAGATGCAGAGATCTTTCATTGTAAGAGGTTCAAGATTGTGGAACAAACTTCCAAATAATATTACAGAAGCATCTGACCAATTTTTTTTAAAGACTATTTTCTAATTTAAAAAAATTATAGGAACTAGGTACAAATATTTCAGATTCCATGTAGAAGCCGTCTAGGAAACCAAAATTTTTTAAACAATCTTACCTGTTTTTTTTAGCAGGGAACTGTTGTTTTTTAATTTTTTGTAGACGATACCTATTTCTTTTAGCTGAAATTTTTTTTTTACAAAGTTATAACGAATTTAATTAATATCCCCAGATACTTGACCGAACCAGAAAAAGAAATTTTCTTTGCATAAAATATTGGTTTCTTTAATTTAATTTCCCAGTGAAGATAACGATATCCTTTTTCTCTGCATTGACAGAAAATCTAGTCCAATCGCACCAACTCTTAACGATCCCTAGGGCCTTTTTCGTTAGTTCTAGGAGCGTCTCAGCCGAGAACCTCTTAAGATAATTAGAAAATTATCCGCATAACTTTGCGGATCAAAAACTCGAACTATTAAATTCTCCTAGTAACTTTTCTGCCACTAAGCATCATAATATTGTAAATAAAATTTTCTTAACCTCTTTTGACTTTTCATGGATTGTGATTTTTTTCTTTTTTAAATTGTTAATTATTGTTATAATTATATTTTATTAATAACTGATGCCTTATCTTAAGCACGGTGGGTCTGAGTAAAGTTCAACCCAAAGAAGCTTGCGTAACAAAATTTCTTCTTGATTTCTTTTTTAGGATGTCTCCTGATAATTTTGAGCCCAAAAAGAAAAAAATCGCCTGAGCCGTTTTTGAAAAACTCATTTTTTCGATATTAATTAACATATTTTTGAAAAAAATATATAATTGTAAGGTCATTATGGGCTTAATTCATTTAAAATAACCGAAATTAATGTTCCATAGGTGCTCAATTCTTTGCAACAATTTTAACCCATAAAAATACTTGAAAAACCGTGAAAAATGTGTTAAAAAGTCGATTTTTTTAAAATTACTCCCTCCCATTGCATTTTAACCGATTAATAGTGCTTACAAAAATTAAAGCTTATAAAATTATCTGTAAGTTAAAAAAAAGTCGAACGATTTATCTTTAAAATTGTCAGAGATATGGCCTTTAGAATACAAAAAATATACAAAAAATTTTTTAAAAAGTCAGTTTTTGTGAAATATCTAATGTCTTGTAACTCTAAACATACTGCTACCCACGAATATATTAAAGTAGACATAATTCTGAGTAAATCTAAAAAAATAGAGGTTTCTAGCTTAATTACAACAAAAGTTATGACCGTCTAAAAATTACTTTTTTATCTTTACTTCTATAACATTATTTTGTTAATGTCTTAATGTATTACGATGTTAATGTTGTTATTATATTATTATATAATTTATATTTATATTTATATATATATATATATATATATATATATATATATACTGTTCATTGAGAGTCAAAATTATAAAAAAAATGAAGATCGATATTATTTTCACATGCAAAGTTTGTTACAAGCGTTTTATGCGTCTGTTCGTATTTTCGTAATACAACAAACTTTGCATGTGAAAATAATATCGATCTTAATTTTTTTTTATAATTTTGACTCTCAATGAACAGTATATATATATATATATATATATATATATATAAATATAAATATAAATTATATAATAATATAATAACAACATTAACATCGTAATACATTAAGACATTAACAAAATAATGTTATAGAAGTTAAGATAAAAAAGTAATTTTTAGACGGTCATAACTTTTGTTGTAATTAAGCTAGAAACCTCTATTTTTTAGATTTACTCAGAATTATGTCTACTTTAATATATTCGTGGGTAGCAGTATGTTTAGAGTTACAAGACATTAGATATTTCACAAAAACTGACTTTTTAAAAATTTTTTTGTATATTTTTTGTATTCTAAAGGCCATATCTCTGACAATTTTAAAGATAAATCGTTCGACTTTTTTTTAACTTACAGATAATTTTATAAGCTTTAATTTTTGTAAGCACTATTAATCGGTTAAAATGCAATGGGAGGGAGTAATTTTTAAAAAATCGACTTTTTAACACATTTTTCACGGTTTTTCAAGTATTTTTATGGGTTAAAATTGTTGCAAAGAATTGAGCACCTATGGAACATTAATTTCAGTTATTTTAAATGAATTAAGCCCATAATGACCTTACAATTATATATTTTTTTCAAAAATATGTTAATTAATATCGAAAAAATGAGTTTTTTCAAAAACGGCTCAGGCGATTTTTTTCTTTTTGGGCTCAAAATTATCAGGAGACATCCTAAAAAAGAAATCAAGAAGAAATTTTGATACGCAAGCTTCTTTGGGTTGAACTTTACTCAGACCCACCGTGCAAGGGGATAAAAACCCTTAATTAAATTCTTACACGTAATATTTGAAACTGAAATATGTTCAGTAAAATATAATAAACCATACCTGAACAGCTCTGTACTTAGGACTTTTTCTAAATGCGTAAGCCCAGGCTTGAATCAACTCTAAGATTTTTACTTTAACTTCTTCGTGTTGTGTATTTTTTACAACATCCCACAATTGTTCCATGTATTGCTTTGTGCCAATTTCATCATGTATTAAGCTGCCACAATTCTTGACACAAGACTCTAGAACCTATTAAAAATCGTTTTTAATATATTTTGCGCTGCAATCAAGTTGAAACTGTAAAAGGAAAATATGTATATTATATTATAAAACTAAAACTTACTAGTAAGCCAAAAAGAGCAATGTGAGGATTTGGATTCACTATTTTTTTCTTTATTGCTGAAAGTACATATTTAGGCCTGCAATTAAAAAATAATGTTTTTAAGTTTCTTATTAATTGTTGGTTTTGATATGTTCTTTTATACTTTTAAAATATTTGTCGCTCATAAATATCAACGAAATTCAATTTCTTAGATTTTTAACAATAGACAGTGCAACATAGCTGGCTCATACATAGAAGTACAACTGGGGTAGAAAACCACCCCAAAATTGTTTTATTGATAGAATGTTAACATTTAACGCAAAATAACTTTATTATATGTCATTTCCTTCATTTCAAAGGTTTCGTGGCCAAGGAAAATACGCATCAAATATGAATTGTCTTGGTCAAATAGTGTGTGCGCTAGAGGATTTGAACGCTTTTTTAAAAATTTTTTATTTTTCCTTGACAACGTTCTGTAAATTGATCCAAATCATGCTCGCTATATTTTTCCTGTAATTTTCACGTAAAAATACATAAATGTATCAAATTTGAGCTCTCTATGTCAAAAGATGTGGCCGCCAAGGGGGTTCGTAAAAATTCATGGTTTTTCCTTGATAACGCTACGATAATCAATTCCAATCAGGTTCGCTACATTTTTCCTGTAATCTATACATGAAAATACATATGTGAACGAGTCTGAGAAAACGGTGCTATCGACCAAAATCAACTTTTCGAGAAAAACGCGTTTAAAATTTTACTTCACTGAGAAAGGTTTGGCGGAACAATTAAGACACTCATAGATTTAATAAGTAACTTAAGAAAAAATTTCCCGGTTTTCCAAGTAAAAATGAATTTTTTCCCGGTTATTTTATAGGACCTCTAAATTGTAATTTTAAGTAATTAATCCATTGGTTTTATTAAGATTTGTATTGTTTTTAGTTGTTTAAACACTTACAAGTATATTTAATGCATAACTTGACGAAGAAAGTTATGAATTCTTCAAAAAATTTACTTTTGTTTTAATTTTTATAAATTTAAATGTAAAAAGTAAGTGAGTGATGAGAAATAAATAATGTATTCGATTAAAAATATATTAAAACTTTTGCAACAATTACATTTTAGATATTATTCAAAGTTACATTTACTACATCTTTGGTATTTTACATACTGCTTTTAAATCTTTAAGAATGTAATTAAACTGTTTTATCCAACTTTATATAACGATCTTTTAAATTTTTTTCTACAATAACACAGAAAAAACTTGGACTCATTTTTGTTGCAACTCATTTTCTTTTGGGTATCGAAATGAGTATGGGACAAACTTCATGTTATTCAAAATGATATTGGCTGGAATTTCAGATTTCTAAGTTGGCATCATAAGCAGAGTAATTTTGTATTTCAATTATTGTTTCTAATATTTCAACAACACCAGAAAGATTATTTTGACCAGTACGAATATTTAGAAGTTTTTAAATAAAAATTATTTATTATTATTTACGTAGATAATAATTGATTTCATAAGTTTTTAAATTTACCGCTATTATTTAAGTTGGCAGTACCGTTCCTGTTGTCAAAACACATGTTTTCATTTTTCTAACCTAAAAACATATTTCCTTTATTATTTTATTACGCGATTACAAGCAATTTTTAATCAAATATATTAAGTCTAGCGTGTTATTTACTTCTTTGTAATTATTATATTTCATGTTTTTGTGCAAAATTATTCGTTATTTCACAATATTTTTCCATTTTTCTTTTTCTCAAAATGAAACTTGCCTGTTTCATTTTGATACTTTTACCTTAGAACTCGAAATGAGACAACCAGTTTCATTTTTGTTGCGAATCAAATTGAGTATAGAATCTATACTCAATTTGAATTCAGGTTTTTTCTGTGAATAATATGTCTTGTTTACAAACAACATAAATTGGTAACAATTAAGTCATTAAATCTTAAATATCCCAGTAAACGAAAAAGGATTGACGTGAATTGGATTGAATTCACAAAGAGCTTTGAAAAATCTCCGAAACCATTTAAAATCTTAATTGAATATGCTACGGCAGAGAGGAACCTAGGTAAATACAACCGAGTAGCCTTTGCTGAATATTTGGAGGGAATAGTTAGTGATCCCCTACGCATCATTGTAGCTAATGGGAAAAACCAAATCATTGTCACTTCCTCGACTTGGAATTTGGCTAATTTGCTTCTCAACAATCCCGATTTACTAAATAAAGGCTATAAATCTTACATCTCGCAATCCCTAGTCAGTAGGAGGACCTTAATCAACAATGTTGATGTAGATCTGTCTCCACTGGAAATTAGTAATAAAGTTGGCCCCGGCGAAACTATCAATTCTATCATTTCAATCCGTAGACGTACTAATCCTGATAATACTCTATCGGAACAAGTTGAGTTGACGGTCGCCGGTACCAACTTCCCTGAATCCATCTTGATCTCTCGATTTTCTTTTAAACTTATCTTGGTGGTTACCCCCCCTAAGAGATGATACAAATGCCAGAGGTTCAGACACTGCTACGCAATGTAGATCATCCCATTCTACTTGCGAATACTGCTCTGAACCACACAACAAGAAGGAATGTCATAATCTCAACCGATCCTCACTTTGTTCCAATTGTCATGGCAAACATATGGCCTCAGCCAAAGTTTGCCCAGACTACAAATATGAAATTTCGGTCATGAAGACTAGACTCCTCAACAATGATCTGTTGAATCTGTTGAACAGATTGAGCGGTGTGAGCAAACTGAGTTGTCTCACTCAGATCTCATGGAGCGCATGAAATCCATTGAATCTAATTCACGGAATCTTCTGGGCGCACCTGAGACTGAAACTCATAGCTCTACTCTGCTGAATTCTGGGTCTGCTCCTTCTCTGTCCCAACCGGAAATTGCTAGAGAATACTATAATCCAGATATGTTTCGGGCAAGTGTCGATGACTCAGACGATTTATAAACGAGTTCGAATTTTTATTTATTTTTAGTTGTATTTTATTCCTTATTTTGATAGTTTTACTTGTACTTTGTGTTGCTTTTGTGTTTTTATTTGGCTATTGCCTATTTTAAAATATGACACTTTCGTCGAAAAATTTTAGTTTGATTCTTTGGAACTCTCGTAGCATTGTACCCAAGCGCCCGGAGTTGGAAATACTTCTCTGGAATCACAATTCGGATGTCATTTGTATTACGGAGACTTGGCTGTCTCAAAGGATCTCATTTGAGTTGCCGGATTACATCACTGTTCGACAGGATCGGGTTGACGGTAGAGGAGGTGGGGTTGCTATTCTGATTCGTAAAAGAATCTCTTTTCGGGTCTCCTTCTCTTCTCGTATTGCCGCGGGCAATTGTCATTTCGATGTTGTCGCCATAGTACTCCATACGTTGTTCGGATCTACCCAAATAGTTTGTGCCTATGTTCCCCCTGGTGAAGATGTGGGTACGTCTGTATGGGATGACCTTTTTGAGCGACTCCCCTCCACGCATAACTTCATCTTTTGTGGGGACTTTAATGCCCATCACTCTTGCTGGGGTGAACAATACAACGACATTCGAGGAGCTTCTCTACTCACTTTCACACCCAATAGAGAACTCTTCCCCTCAAACATTTTAACCCCTACTAGACACAGCGATCCAGGTGTCTCTTCTGGTAATCTTGACTTGATATTCTGCTCATCTGCTGTCTTGCAGAACTCCACCACATCTGTTTTGGACGATGCCTACTCTTCGGACCATTTTCCGGTATCCCTCCGTGCTAGTATTGCCCCTGTTCTGGTTCCACCTGCAACTTGTAGATTAAACCTGAAAAATCTCAATTGGACTTAATTCAGAACTCTTCTTGAATTGGATGTCCTAGATCTTACAGCACATCTGACTACCGAAATTTCTTTTCCCGAGATTTATGAACGTTTTCTTAAATCTATCAAGAAATGTATTCTGGACGCTGGTGCCTTTTCTCCATCTCGCAACTCACTTCCAACCCGCAATAAGCCGCTCTGGTGGAACTCGGAATGCGACAGGGCCTTACAAACCAAAAGGGACAACTACAGATGGTATCAGGCCAATCAATCTTTGCAAAATAGGGTGGAATTTAGGAGGCGAGATGATGAGGTAAAGAGGATCTTCAGATGGCAGAAGACTCAGGCCTTTAGAGATTTCTGTAAGGACATTTCTCCATTTAGGGGTACCTCCACTCTTTGGAAGACAATCAGGGCCCTGTCCTCTAGATCGAATCAGGCCAGTACTAATATCGATACTGATACTTCCAACCATGAACTTACAAAATATAAAAAAGACCTCATAAGAGAGGACTTTCCACAAGCAAACATTCCTCCCTTACCCACCCCAACTCATTTTAGTGATGATGATTGCAAGCCGTTTTCAATGAATGAGTTTAAATCCGCCTTGAATTCTACAAAAACCAATTCTGCTCCGGGTATGGACTGGATCATGAGGTCGAAGCGAGACGTCTGATTTCCAAATGCCAATTTGCCTTTCGTAAGGAGCACTCCTCTCTCGATTGTGTTTTCACCTTTGTTGCGGATATACTTAATGGTTTTCCGGACTCCTCTCACACCCTTGCTATCTCTGTGGATATCAAGGGTGCCTTCAACAATGTCCGTCCTTCGATTTTAAACAGACTGGGCTTTCAACCCAATCTATTCAACTTTATATCGTTTATAACCGCTAGGAGACGTATCTCTTTTACCCCAGACGGCTCAGATGGCAAATACTGCAGTGTCGGTATCCCTCAGGGAGGTGTGCTCTCTCCTCTTCTCTTTAACTTATATCTTCGTAGAATAGGACATATTCTCCCCGCCAACATAAGATTTACTATGTATGCTGACGACCTTCTCCTCTACATCAAATTTAAGGATCCAACCAACATTGCTGAAGAGGTCTCTTTAGTATTAAATAAATTGTGCAAGTGGCTTAGAGGTATGGGGATGGAGGTAGCTCCCAATAAAACCTGTTGCTGTGTCTTCTCGAGATCTCGTATCTCTTTCGAGAACCTTAGAATATTCATAGGAAATACCCTTATCAGATGTGAGTCTACCATGAAATATCTGGGTATTGTTCTGAATAGGAAACTCTCTTGGCTTCCCCACATAAAACAAATTGCTGATCGAGCCACGCGAACTCTTTCTATCCTAAAAATCGTATCCAGAGTAGCATGGGGTACTTCCCCGATTCTTGCCCTTATGATCTATCGTGGTCTCATACGAGCCATTCTAGAGTAAGGTGCTCCACTTTTCTCCGATGCGGCCCCAACAAATCTGAAGATACTGTATAGGGTGCAGAGCGCTGCTCTAAGAATGTCCTTGGGATGCATGAAGTCAACCCCAATTGCCATCTTGATGTCGGAATCAGGTGAACCCCCTCTTGCCCTCAGAAGAATGTTCATTACCAATTCCTTTCTATTTAGGAATTTCAGATGGAAGGACAACCCTCTCATCCCTAAAATACAACTACTGAGAGAGAAGTCATTACGACCGGGTTTTAGATTGAATAAGAGTAGAATATCTCTCCTGAATGCCTATGATAGGACTATTCCCGTTTTGGAGACCTTTCATAGAACCAACAGACCATCCTACTTTGACACACCCTGGAAGACCCTGGCACACACTCCCATCTATGATCTTCTATCTGGCAACCTACTTAATGATATTTCACAACCTGACAAAAAGCTCAAATCTCTTATCAGAGAAAACTATCAAAACCCTCTCACGATCTATACTGACGCATCTTATGATGCGAAAACTGGATTAGCCGCCTCGGCTTTTTACGCTGAGTCCACTCACTTTTCTGTGGGTATCCCTCATCAATTTGGTCCATCCATCCTTACGGCTGAGCTCTATTCTATCCTTAGAGCCATCCTATATGCAAAAGAACAAAATAGCTCCCAGGTTTTGATTGTCTCAGATTCTTTGTCTGCCTTATCCAGAATTTCAAACTGCTTTCTGTTCTCGGACAATAACTATCTGGTATATAAAATCCTTTCCTGTCTATATGAGGTTTCCAAGTTCTCACGATCTATGGAGGTCAGATTCCTGTGGGTTCCGGCCCACATTGGAATCTCAGGAAATGAAAGAGTGGATAGAATCGCTAAGGCTACAAACAGATTCTCAAATAGAATTGACCTTGCCCCCCCTCCCTCTGACCTAAAAAGGGGAATCCTGGACCCAGAACTAAGTTCTGGCTTGCCAGACTCTGGCCCTACGTGGAGGAAAATAAACAGCAACGAAGATACTTCTCTCAAATAAGATATGACACTCCGCGACCTTGGTTTGCGCAAATCTCCTGGCCCAGAAGACAAATCAATCTAATCACCAGGCTTAGAACTGGACATATATACACGGCGGATCACCTCTCAAGATTTCACCTTCATGATGCTTTAAGATGTTCTTGTGGCTCGGACTGGAGGAGCATTGATCACCTGATCTTTGAATGCCCGTTGTTAGCTATGTCTAGACAGGGATTTTTTGACTTTCTTAAACGTAGAAGACCTAACATTGAATTGTCCGAGATCTCTTTGGACGAGTTCATTTTAATTAGTTTTTTTTACTGGGATAATCTCAAAACGAAGATTGATCAATTTTCTTCTGAAGTAATCTCATCCTATGTTAAATTTTTTAATTCTGCATTAATTGTATCGATTTCCTTTCGTGTGTCTTTTAATAGCGTGTGTCGGTTAAATGGCATTTCTGTTTATTGACTTGTCTGTTAAATTACATTTCTGTTAAATGACGTGTCGTTTTATTGTCATTTCTGTTAATTGATGTGTCGGTTAAATAAAGATTCTGTTACTAAGACAATTACTTAGGACAATTCGGTTACATGACAATTCTATTCTCTGGAAATTCAGTTACTTGACATTTTTGTTGAGTATCATTTCGGTAATCGAAAATGACTTAGTTGAAAAGACTTAGTTGACTTAGTTTGGTCGATCGAAAATTCTGTTAAATGTCAATTCTGTCAACTGAAAATTCTGTTTAGTGATTTTTGGTTCAATGATAATTCGGTTAAGTGACAATCCGGTCAAATGACAATTCTGTTACTTGACAATTCTGTAAAATGACAATTCGGTTAAATAACTGTTCGGTTAATTGACATGTGGTACATATTCATGCGTCCCGAGTACATAATTGTAATTAATATATCTTCTTTATATGTATTAGTTTAATGTTATAGCATTTATTAGAAAACAAACGACTGAGAAATAAAAATGTTATTCAAATAAAACACACTTGATTTAAATCAATAAATAATTAATAAAAAAAAAATTTTTTTCGCAGAAAAATGTGGTCTCCATCATTATTCGCTCTTACATATTTATGTCTTTACAGTCATAAAGTAAAAACATGAAAAAATATCGCAAAATTTTTAAGTTTTAAGGTAAATCTCACGATAGGAGGGGGGGTTAGCAAAAATCTCACCACAAGGGAGGGAGAGATCCAAATTTAAGGAAAATATGCTCACGTAATTAATGGACGTCCCCTTTTGAGTTTTAAAAGTCTATTGTCAGATTCGTAATGAGCAACCCTGAAAACTCCCGAGTAATACTATTCTGATCAATTATTATACTATTCTTTTGTATATTTTTTAAATAATAATTTTGTTTATCTTTGAAGATTATTTGTAGAAAAAAACTAAACTTTTATTATAAAAGTCATTCAAAAAGTGAAAATCGATTTTTTCGCGCCTTAGGTCGCTTTTAACTGTCTTGTTCACATTTAAGTATTGTGTCTGAGAGTTATAACACAAGCCTTCAAAAAAATAAAATTTCTGTTGTCAGAGATCGAAAAGTCATTCCCCGTAGTTTTTGATGCGCTGAATCCGAATCTGGCAACGAAAACCTCCTATCACGTCAGGATTTTGAGAAAGGTTCTCAAATTTCCCAAAAATCACGTTTTCGTCAGTTTTTAAAAATTTCTACCGGGTAAATCCGACGTCCTAGAGACTTGTCATAGGAGTCAAATTAAAGCTTGAACCCTGTACTTTACGACGATATAGCGATATTGACAACAACAAAATAAATTAGCTGTCAAAAATAGTTTTTTTAAGATAGCAAGCATAAAAATTGACTTACACTGTTCGTAAATATAACTATTTTAAAAAATACTTGTACTCGTTTGGAATTTGTCACTCAGGGATTTTCGAGGTCGCGGATTACGGATATGATGTCAGATTTTCAAAATTCAAAATGGCGGATCCAATATGGCGCATGAGTTTTTTAAAAATCTATTCAATGTGACATTGGATCCGCCATTTTGAATTTTGAAAATCTGACATCATATCCGTAATCCGCGACCTCGAAAATCCCTGAGTGACAAATTCCAAACGAGTACAAGTATTTTTTAAAATAGTTATATTTACGAACAGTGTAAGTCAATTTTTATGCTTGCTATCTTAAAAAAACTATTTTTGACAGCTAATTTATTTTGTTGTTGTCAATATCGCTATATCGTCGTAAAGTACAGGGTTCAAGCTTTAATTTGACTCCTATGACAAGTCTCTAGGACGTCGGATTTACCCGGTAGAAATTTTTAAAAACTGACGAAAACGTGATTTTTGGGAAATTTGAGAACCTTTCTCAAAATCCTGACGTGATAGGAGGTTTTCGTTGCCAGATTTGGATTCAGCGCATCAAAAACTACGGGGAATAACTTTTCGATCTCTGACAACAGAAATTTTATTTTTTTGAAGGCTTGTGTGCAGCTTTAGGAACGTTTCTTTACTTAAACATAATAAATAAATTTCATGATATAATATAATATTAATAATTGTTTAGAATTGTGGATATTAAAATTGTAAGTTTTCTTTATTATTAAAACTTATTACGTATCTAAACGTACTTACTGCGTATCTCCTTGCCTTACAAGATCACAAATTTGTAAAATTGAAGGCCAATCTGGCTCCAGAAGTAGCTGACTAGTAGCCTTCTCTGCAAAGCAATTAAAATATACATATATATACATTAATTACCTTCATTTAAAAAAAATATAACTTGATGATGATTGGGAGTTCTATGTAATTCTTTGAAAAAGGAGCACATCCGATTATCGACCTCAAAAACGACACTGATCAAGTAAAATGAGGTTAAATTGTGAAACAAACATTTTCCAATCTTTTCTTTTTATAAAACTAACACTATGCATAAAATCACTACGATTGTAACTGTCATTATGACAATTTTTGCAATATTATTTTTGAATTTTTCGTTTTACTACACAGCGTGTAGTAATTTAAATTTATTAGAATATTATTGGGACGTTCTTTGTCAACCGGACCACCCCATCTCTCCATAATTGGTTTAATTTAAAAAAATTTTATCATATTGGAAAAATTAACTTGGAATGTCTACTTTATAATCCCGTTAGGCGCTTTTTGAAATGGAAAATGGCGACTTAAATATGGCGCCTAAACGACATAAAAAACACAAAAAATCCACTAATATGATCTATATTATTGTTTAAAGCTTCACATATGACGATAAAAATAACCACAATATAGTTTACTTACAAACTGATAACGTATCTCCATTCAAAATTCAAAAATTCAAAATGGTGGATAAAATTAAAAATTGAGATAGGCTCGTGTAAATTACTATTTCGGGGTTTTCGAGGTCGCTGGTTACAAATTTGATGTCAGTTTTTAAAAAAAATAAATGGCGGATTCACCATTTTGATTTTTTAAAAAGTAACGATGAATTCGTAAAGATTTTTTGGATTTTTGGTCCGCCATTTAGAATTTTTAAAAATTAATAACGGATTCGTAATCAGCGACCCCAAAAACCTCCGAGTAACAAGTTTCAGTCGAATCTAAACGATTTTTCAATTTTTGTGCGCCATATTGGATTCGCCATTTTGAATTTTAAATAGAGATTTGTCATCAACCATTTAAAAATTTTTTTAAACTGGCATCGGATTTGTAATCAGCGACCAAAAAAACCCATATGAAGACATTTTTAGGAAATTAGCTCAATTTTTTAAATTTTTGATCCGACATTTTGAATCCGCCATTTATTATTTTTAAAAACTGACATCAAATTTGTAACCAGCGACCGCGAAAACCCCGAAATAGTAATTTTCAAGAGCCTATCTCAATTTTTAATTTTATCCGTCATATTTAATCCGCCATTTTGAATTTTTGAATTTTGAATGGAGATACGTTATCAGTTTGTAAGTAAACTATGTTGTCGTTATTTTTATCGTCATATGTGAAGCTTTAAACAATAATATAGATCATATTAGTGGATTTTTTGTGTTTTTTATGTCGTTTAGGCGCCATATTTAACCCTCGGAGCACATACTGGGTCACACAGACCCTGTCATTAATTTCAATGAAGTGTAATTTGAAAAGTCGGCAATACAACACGAACCTAAGGCCATATAGTGGTAACTAAATAATAAGGAATAATAAGTAACATGATAATCCAAAGAAAATAATAAAATACTAGTAAATATGTTATTAAAAAAGTATAGTTTTAAAAAGTTGTGTCGAAAATCACATTTTTATCGTCTTAAAAGTTACCTTCGTTAAACTACAAAATAAATACCTTTTTTAAAAAATAAAATAAGGTGGTATTTTTTCCCTTATTCTAACACACTTCGAGAATATAAATCCCAATTTTTAGCTTAAAATATTAAAAATTACAAAAGTTACATTTTTTTTTTAAATTCAATTTTTTCTTTTTAATTAGTTAACTTCACGAATTTTTTTTCAATATGCAAATAATTTAATAATATTTCTAAACTGCATATTCTTATTTTACAAGGTTCAATGAATAAAAAAATATTTTTTTGTGTTGATCAGTCCAATAGTTTAGAAATGGGGGAGTTTTGTAAAGTAAACAGGGTCACAGCGACCCAGACTGTGCTACTTGTTCGAAAAAAGAGGTGTGTGCTCCGAGGGTTAAGTCGCCATTTTCCATTTCAAAAAGCGCCCAACGGGATTATAAAGTAGACATTCCAAGCTAATTTTTCCAATGTGATAAAATTTTTTTAAATTAAACCAATTATGGAGAGATGGGGTGGTCCGGTTGACAAAGAACGTCCCTATTACATATTAAATGAAAGTAATGAAACTTTTTTGTATGTTGGTCATAATTCCTAAATTCAATACTTTTAGAGTTAAATGACATTGAAATTAGGTGTATTTTAAAAAAACTCGAAAAAATCAGATTTTTAAAAATTGAAAACTCGAAAATTTAAGCACTTATAAAAAAATAAAAAAATACGTAAACCTTTTTTTCTATGAAGATCGAAAAAAATATATTTACCGAATTTAAAATGCCATAGGTAAATCTCACGTGGAATCGCCATTATATAATTAATATTTAATAGAATTGAAACGAAACTGAAGTACGCAACGTTTATCAACAAAAACATTTTCTGAAAAAAATTAAATATTACGTCTAAATTACATATATTTAACATAGGCGGAATAATTATCTGAAAAATGCTTTAAATATTCCGCCTACAATAAATATATGTAATTTAGGCTTAATATACAACTTTTAAAGAAATTTCGTTGATAAACGTTGTGTACTTCAGCTTCGTGGATTGAATTTTTTAATTTGAATTTGGAATTTTAAAGAAACTAATTCCGAAATTTGGAAACACAATTATACAACTTTGGCAAAAATGAGAAAAAGAATGAGAAAAGAAAAACACGTCATAACATTACAATTCAAAAAACACGTGAAATAAGTAAAGACCAACTTTAAGTTAGGACAGAAGGACAGACCAAGCATTTCATTATTATATAATTAATAATTTTTTCCTAATATTGATTTTTCCTATATTTTGAACAAATCTTGAATGTTAAATTGACGTTTTTCATCCATTAATAATTTCAATGATAGAAATATACTGTTTAAAAGTTCAATAAAAGAAAAAACTTGAAATAATTTATGTTTGACAAAATAAGTTATATTATTCCAAACATTTTTTGGTTTGATCAATCAATCAATCAAAAAGATCATGACAGTTCTGTGTATTTTTTGAAATTGATTTTTTTAGGTTCAAGAAAAATTAATTTGTAAAAGCATGCAAAATTGAAAGAATCCATCCATTGCAAAATTTCAAATTTGAATGCTTTTACAAATTAATTTTTCTTTAACCTAAAAAAATCAATTTCAAAAAATACACAGAACTGTCATGATCTTTTTGATTGGATATGAATTAAAAAATGTTTTGAATGATATAACTTATTTTGTCAAACATAAATTCTTTCAAGTTTTTTCTTTTATTGAACTTTTAAACAGTTCTACAATTTTTCTCTATTATTTATCACTTTTTAGGACGCCATAATAAAAGCATTCAATTTTTAAAAAAATTTATTTTTTCACATTATATTTTCATTTATTATTTTTTAGTTTATAATTAACAAAATAAACTTTAAATAAAGCTTTCCCAATGAAGCGTTACGTAATTTAAGTATGGTCCTTAGAAAATTCTATAAATTTCTAGAAAGTACTATAAGATTTCTAGAAAGTTCTATAACTTTTATAAACTAGGTGTTTATTTCATGACCATTTATGAAGCTGAAGTACGCAACGTTTATATAAACGATTTTTAAAGAAATAATTTTTTACAATGAAAAATTCTATAATTTTTTGCCTAAAAAATATTTCTTGTAGTTTTCATTAATGAACAAATTATACAAAAAATATTTTTTAGGCAAAAGATTATAGAATTTTCCATTTTAAAAAATTATTTCTTTAAAAATCGTTTATATAAACGTTGCGTACTTCAGCTTCGTTGACCATTTAGCTTCCTCATCATGATAAACTTATATTTAAGATTAAAAGAAGGATTACAACTAAAATAGCGATCAATTTTATAATTATTGGTAAAAAGTAAACTTTATATACATCAATCGATTCGTTTTCATGCCAGGAATACAAATTTGACAAGAATTAATTAAAATTTCTATATAAGAAAAAGTTATTTCAAAAAATAAAAAAAACGATTTTTTTCAAAAATTCAAAAAAATGATTTAATCTATAGATTTCAGTAAAATATGAACTTTATATAGGTTAATCGATTCGATTTAATGCAAGAAATAAGTTTTTTTACCAAACAAAATCTTGAAAAAAAATTTTTTTTCAAATTTTGAAAAAATTGTAAAAAAAAAATGTGAATATATTCGGAAATACTTGTGTCAGATTTTAGGTATTAATGATTACAATAAGCAAATAAAATTCTAGAACAATCCATTAAAACGTTTCTGAGATAATTTATAAACAATATTTTGTGACATACACACACATATACATACACACACATACATCTGGACATTTGCTCAGAACTTCATATATATTAATTTTAGATAAAATGAATCCATATAACCCAATTTTAAAACATCGAAAATCGTCACGAATGCAAAGCTTCCTCATGAGGAAGCAAAAATTATTTAAATTTTTAGAAAGTTCTATAAATTTTGTAGAAAATTTTTTAAATTACTAGAAATTTTTATAAAATTCTATAAATTTTGAGAAAATTTTATAAAATTCTATTCTAGAAATTTCTACTTCTATAAAGTTTTTATAAATTTTCTTGAAAGTTCTATGAAGTTTCTAGAAGTTTTACTAAAGTTTCTAGAAATTCCCATAAAGAGTCAAAAAAGATTTCATGAATATTTTAGAAAATTCTTTGAAATTTGCTGTCTTGCGAAGTAAATGCGACGCGTCGCAAAGAAAGGGACCTTAGAAGCAAAAAATTATAGGTTTTTTTTTTTGAAATTTTAAAGTGAAAATACACAAAGAAGATTAAATTTTAATGCAAACCAATTATGCTCAAGTCTTTTTTATATTTAAAATAATCAATAAAAACTGATTATGATGTTGCAGAAACGAAAAAAAAACTTTTAATCAAGGTAAAACTGATTGAGCTGAAGAACATAACGTTAATAGTTTAACGGTTACAAAAACCAATTTAT